GGGGGGGGGTTGTCGGGTTGGGGGAAAGAAGCCGCCGCTGTGGGGCGAAGGAGCGCGGCCGGTGGCGGTCCCGCCGCAGTGCCGTCAGCCCGAAGACCCTGGCTTCTGCTCGTCGCTGCTGCTTACTTTTTGTGTGTGTGTGTGTGTGTGTGTAATTTCCCTTTAACCGCATGCGTGCGTGCATGAATATGCAGAAAGAGCTTGATCTGTGAGTTTTGGAGGTTGAGCACGTAAGGAGGTTTTGCGTTATTTTTCTCTAGGTGACTTGAAAAGCCGCAGGCTTTTCAGACGAGTATAATGAAGACGCATTAGGACGCTTTAAAATGCAACACCTTTTTCTAATGTCCTAACTCTTACATGTGTCGTGTGTACGTAGATGGTATACTCACAGCATGCAAACCCTAAGCCCCGATGGGATCCCTAGAGAATGCACTGGTTTCCACGAAGGTAGATACAGGAGAATCCAAGCCAGCCTAAAAACTGCTTTGCCTTATTCTCAAGAGATGGGATTTAATTTTTTTAATTTTAACTTTTGAACCTATTCCTGTTATTGATAAACTGAATCACTAGCCAATATGTTTTCCTTACATCTGCGCAACTCTTAAGGCTTTTAAAGAGTAATATAGAATGTTTGCAACATATTTTTCAATGCTGAACCTTGGTGAAAACCGGTAGATTTTTTTCCTTTTGTTGAGAGATGGATTGTTTGCTTTTCACTTTGGCAGAGAAGATTCATAGCCAACAAATTCATTCCAACTGTTAAGTCTTATAATTGAAAGATAAGAAGATACTGGATATTTAAAAGTATCCCAACTCAAATTTAGGGGCCAGATGAACTGATGGTTGTGGTCTAGATGGAAGCAATAAGAAGGCTAATCTTTAGTTGTTCATTTCTTGCACTGTCATCACAAGTGACACCAGTAGTCCTGGTCAGACCTGGAGTTGCATTTCCTATATTAAACAGCACCATAATACCCACAGAACCACCTGTCAAAAAGTAAGTTGCAATTTAAAATTTTTATTAATGATGTAGGTAAGGGTCAGATCTTTCAGTCCTGCTCAAATCAGTTATTTCAGTGTCGTCACGCACTGTATGGTCTGACTTTTATCTGTAGTTATTTTTCAATACAATTATTTTGTTTCGAGTTCGTAGATCATAAATGTTAATTTTCTACAGCTGTTTAAATTGCTATGTGTTGTGTTACTTGGCTATGTAACTGGAAAAAAGTAACTTTTAAGGCAGTCTTGATATTTACTCCTTTAGCTTATCAGTCCAATGTTTTCAACATGTTTTTGTTTGATGTATTGAAGGTGACAACAGAGGTTGGAAAACTTCTTGGTGAAGAAAAGGTGGATGCGATCTTGTGTGTAGCAGGAGGATGGGCTGGAGGCAGCGCCAAAGCTAAATGTAAGCCTTTGGTACATGCATGCTAGTGAACATGTCAATGAATCCTTAAAAATCATGGTAATAAAGATGTTTGAGGTCATCTTTCTTCCTGAGTCCAGAAGAGGACATAAGCATGAAAGTACAAAATAGCTCAGTCACAATGCTTCTTAGCGCTTCTCTGAATTTTTGCTGTCCGTTAAATTTGCACAGTGCTTACTATTCTCAGTAATACTCCCTGATGCACCAATTTTCATCAGAAAATCTTTATGAAGGAGTTCAGCATTATTATCTATGAACTAACTTTTGCCAAGGTCAGGCAAGTTATGTAAGACAGTGGCTCACCAGAAACATCAATGTTGTTTCCTAATTCATTGCTTTATGCATAAAACCTCAGTTGCCTCCTGCAGTGCTCTGAGCTATTACTGTGCAATACAGTATTGGAAGGAGCTGTCTAATGACCTGAGATCACACTACAGAAAAAAGCCTTCAGTTTAAAAAAAGCATGTAATATAATAAAAAATATAATGTAATATTCGGAACAAAATTTTGTACTTTACCTACTAGTGTAGAGATACGAGAAAAGAATATCGACTTGTTTTCTGTCTGAAGCAAATCTGGTAAAATGTGTCCTTTTCTGCCCCCCCTTCCAGTTTGGACATTACCAGCAAAGATCTCTTTTTAAAGAGAGACAGTGTGGGAAGGCATAGACACTTATACCACAGTTGCATTATATTGGATTGTTATTAGTATGCACTGTATTTTAAATAAGGTAATTTATCATAACCATGATTTATAGTAAAGTTATTGGTAGGGTAGCAGGACATCTTGGGATAGGTGGTCAGCTTATGTCACAGAGTTATTTAGGCTTCTTCCATATTGTGTTATGGAGATGGTTCTTTCTGAATACTAAAGTCTTTTACGTGGCTAGTTGGTTGGTTTTTTTTGTTTTCCCATGCAGATACTGATAATAAAAAAAACAATGATGAGAGTTCAGATTTTGATTTCATTTGAAGTTCTGGTGTACCTCCCCCAGTAGGCTGCCTTACCAGAGGTTGCACTCCAGTATGTAGGGGCACTGGAATGCACACTTGGTACAGTGCAGATGCATGCATCTTCGATATTCCATACCAGTGTACTACTGTCAGGCAGACAGATAGTTTCTTGGTTTATGAAGTAATCTGGTGATAAGAAATACTTTTTTGTTCAACTCCTTTATCTCTTGGAGTCTTCTGTCTGCATACTAATGGACCATAGCTCTTTTGCAGCCAGTGAGGAAGTTACAGAAAGAGATCATGCTACTGCGACGTGCGATGAGGCTAATGTGAGAGTTTGGAGATCCTTGACATAAATTGAAGCAATGCCTACAGGAGTTTCAAGAGCTTGGAATCTTTGAACCATTAATGGAGAGCTAATGGAACTATCTTGTGTTTATTATTTTTATTTCTGGTAATGAGAAAGCAGAAAATTGCCTAGAATATATGCTGTAAAGCTGGGACTCGGAGCCCAAAGAGAAGGGAGATACAGAAGACATAAATTGATATGCTACCCAGTGTGGAAGTAGAAAATGGTAGAAAGCATGTTTTCATAGTCCTGTCACATAGTGCAGTTGCACTCAGTGTGACAGTAAGGAAGTTAGAAGTTGTCTATCTTATAGTTAATTTCACTAATTCTCTTCCTCATCAGCTTTATATAAAAACTGTGATCTGATGTGGAAGCAGAGCGTTTGGACATCGACTATTTCCAGCCACCTAGCCACAAAACATCTGAAACAAGGAGGCCTCTTGACTTTGACAGGAGCTCAGGCTGCTTTATCTGGAACCCCAGGTAAAATGCAATGCATGATAACTGCTGGGACATCAACAGTTACAGCTATCTGTTAGTTTGAGCATTGTTGTTTGTAAAGCAACAGTTTCACTCCCCAATTTCTTGACATCTGGTACAAGTGGAAAATTTCTGCTGAAACACTTAAGGGAAGTGTAATTTTACAGGTAGCAGTACTGAAGCTCTTGAAGCTGGAGTGCAAATAGAATCAGTATTTAAATATTTGACATGCATTGGTGAAATGTACTTGGCTAATAAATGATACAGTAAAAAAAAGTTCGGAAAATAACGAAGAATAGAAGCTCACAGCAAGCTGTAAGTGCTTAAATAAAGTTAAATCTTTGTGTTCTGAAAGGCAGAGTCCTTGATTGCCCAATTTTTCCATTAGTGATGACTTAGCTGATTCTGTTAACTATGCTTGTCCTGTTCGTGGTCTGATTCTAGTCTGCCTTTGCTTCAGACATAGATAAGCTTGTTGACCTTTGGCTTTGCCCTCCACTATTAAATACAAACTTTATTGAGTTTTTTCATCTCGCTCCTCGCCATGTTGGTCCGCATGGAGGAAGAAATCTGGGAGCAATTTAAAATTTAAAAAAAACAAAGCACTGACAAACAAGCCCACAGGCAGGGTGAGGCATATGAGACAAATGCTCTTATTTCCCAATCTTTTATTAGTGTGACTTCAACAATATTTTGATGAGACATAGATACTAAAGTTTATGAATATTCCTGAAAGCTGTGTCTAAATCTGTTCAAGAAAAATATGCTCTAGGTTCTATTTAATGATTTTACCTTCTATGTTTACAGCTGCATCTGGCATAGTCTGAAGATAAAAGGCTTATTTTATGGGAATAAGCAGATGAATAATTTACTGTGCACTACTGACTGACCATATAAAAATGAAAAAATGTGAACTGTGGCAAACTTTCATGTTTTATGTTTGGGTGGTTTTGGGAGGTAGGGACCACAACACAAGAATCAAAGTGATTTGCGTTCATGTTTTGAACTAGCTGGTTTCAAAGAGCCTGACTTTTTCTAAAAAAACACAGTAGTGCTTTGGGCAAACACATGCAACTTATTAACTTCAGGAAGAATTGGGAAAGAATTGTTACTCAACTTTTGCAAATATGACTTGTTAGGCTTGTTACTACCAGCCATTACAGAAGGAATCATCTTTTTCTTGTTTGCTGTTAGTGTGATTTTTTTTTTTTTTTTTTTCTTCCCTATGTGAAAATGTTGATTCACATAATGCAAATTGACGAATACTGGAAGTTTATATAAAAAGTTACAGAAACAATCTGACAGTGGCTAAGAAATGTAGAAGCATGAAAAGGTTTAACAAGACTTGGAATGTTTGGTTTAGACAAGACAAGAGGGGAATACGATAGAGATGCAAATGGTTTTTATTGTAACAATAAAATAAGTTAGCTACTGCTGCCCATGATTCCTCCTAATAAAAATGGATGTTATACAATATGTCTAATTGAATATAATGGAAACACTTCTACAATGCAAAATGACCTTTAACTTTGATACAAAATGCTTGCTCAGGAACATTGGAAAGTGGCTGAGTAGTTATATAGATGGCTAGAAAGGCATCCAGCTGTAGTAGGCAAAATACATTGATGTTTTCATATGTGCTTCATCTGTGTCTGGGCTGCTTGGCAGATATATACCATGAGACATCTTAGACCTATGGGACCCTGATTGTACCTAACCAGTGTGCCTTATGCTCTCATTCCTGTTGCTCTTACACTGCTAACTACTGTCTGCCTAGAAAGCAACAGTGTTTAGGAAGAAGTTTGCTTTACCTGTAGGTTATTTAGTAATTTCCTACCATGAGGGGTTTTTTTGTAGTTTTTGCCAAAGGGCCTGTCAGACTTGGGATGCTGACGAAGTGAATTACAGTTCCGGAGAGAAGTAAGCTGTATCTGTGTGAGTCCAAACCTGCAAATAGCTTAGTCATATGATTAAAATTAATGGACGATTCCCTTACTAAAGTCTATAAGCATCTTCACTTACCCTGTTAGATTTGCAAGGTTAGCCCTGTAGGTCCCGTCCTTCAGGGTACATATGGGTACACTAAGTAAATGTGCTAAACTCAGTAAGCTGCTCATTTCTATAGTGCTGAGTAAATTGAGTTCAGTGATAGTTCCTGGATGTCTAGTAAGAGCTTTTTGTTTCTTTTTTTCCTTTTTTAATACGTATGTTTTGATAATGTTTTAAAAGTGATTCTGTTCTGGTTGTGGTAAATGGTCTTAATATTCGTCAAACAATCTGAGTTTCTGTCATACTAATGATGATATCAAGAGCTGTTTTGATTGTGCTCTAATTTGCCTGTTTTTAATTGTTAGGGATGATTGGCTATGGCATGGCCAAAGGAGCAGTGCATCAGCTTTGTCAGAGTTTAGCTGGTGCCAATAGTGGCTTGCCATCTGGTTCTGCTGCTGTTGCCATTTTACCGTAAGTGGTTGCATAGTTGCCTCTGCCTGTCTTGTTTTATTTAATTACTGCTGTAACCTGGAGTCACATGGATATGCTTGTGATGTCCTGTTCACAGTACACAAACAGCTTCTCAGACCTATGTACAGTTTCACAGAGAAATGAGACATCTTGAATGTATCAACAAAATGATATGCAAGTCACCCTAAAAATGATTAAGTTCTTTTCTTGTCCTTTCCTTTGCAAAATAGTAGTGGATGTTAGGATTAAAATTTGATTCACTTTTAACCAGTTTAACTGTAGCCATTCATTAATGTGTGATCCCCGCCCCCCCCCCAGTATAGAGAGAACTCTAAAAATGAGATGAGCTATTCAGCACAGTTTTACTTGGCTGTGTGATAATGGTAAAGGATTACTTTACAAGTTTTGACTAGTTTAAAGAAGCTTCTTCATAAGGTGCTGCATATCTATGCTTGATCAGTAAAATGAGGTCACTTTAAGGACCTGTGAAAAGAAAAAGTTTAGCTTCTATTTGCCTCTCACACCTTTCTTTTTGATGAGGAAAGCTAGAAGAAGGTGGATGGCCTAGTAGGTCTTCACTATGTGTAAATTTATCAATTCTGCTACAAAAACCAAAAGTATTTTTCTTGCCAGGTCTATATCTAGTTCAGGACCGAAAACTTAGGACTAAAGAGTTCTGTATAGGAATTTGGAACACTACCTGAGTTCTCCCTGCTTTGTTTTCCTCATACACATGCTCTTATGCGCACTTCTTCAGGTCAGAGACCAACAGCATTAAAAGTGTTTGGATAATTCACACCACCTTCTACAGAGCTTTACAGACAGGCAGACACCAAGATCACCGGACTTCTGGGCGTTCTGTGCTTGTATAGTTCTTATGCAAAACTTTGGTTTTGGGTGAATTTTTGAGAGAGTAATAACACCTTGGATTGTCAACAGCATCTCGGTGAGGGAGTTGTGAAAAGTTCAGCCCTTAATATCATTGTATGTAGTGTAAATACGTATCATCAAAGTCAAAACTTCCTATGCTTGTGCACTTAATTTCTGCATTTGTAGCTGGCATGAGGCTAGTTGAAAGCATGGATGTAGCGCATATGTGCTGTGCAGTACATGCAAACAAACGTATTACTGCCATTCCCTGTCTGCACGAGATAGCCCACAGCTCCCTTCCAGTCCAAATAATTGCCCTAATGGGCTGGATGTCATCAGTGAGCCAGGAAGGTGAGGGGTTATGGGTTGGAGCCTTTGATACACATTGAAACTGATGGTTATATGCTGTTAACACATGTAGAGGATGCAAGGGAAATCCATACCACGTGGTATAAGAGTCAAGCATATGTTACAGCAATGAATAGAAGCAGGTAGTGCTCATCAGAAATATGATGTGTAAATAAAAGGCTTATCTTTTTTAATCATAGGGTTACCTTAGATACACCAGCAAACAGGAAATCAATGCCTGACGCAGATTTCAGCTCCTGGACACCCTTAGAATTCATTGCTGAGTGAGTATCTGTGTGATAATTAAACAATTCCTCACTGTCTCTCTTGCTGCTGCATCTTACTGCATGTTCTTTCTAGACAGGCATCTTGGATTTGGGTGTGTTTTTTCCTCTGTCATCTCCTCATTGTGTATGTTTCTAAATCACGTTGGGTTTATTGCACCGGCTTCTTAACTGGAGAAAATTAGCCCAACTCTGTCAACCTCAGCATCTGTATGCCGGTTATTCTGACAAGGGAGATAGCCTTAAGCAGTTGGAAGCCAGAGAATCTCATAAAGCCTGTAGACAAATTAAATTGCAGACAGCAGAGGCAGGAGACAGTAGTCTGGCCTAAAGGTGGACTGCAAAAAGGCATGTAAACTTTTGTGGGATTTTTTTCTTTTAAACACTCTTTACTGCCCAGTCTATGGTGTGTTAGTTCACTTCTGTCAGCTGGCAAAATTCCTGCTCTTGTTTAGAAAAATTTAGTCAAGATTTTTTAATTTTTCATCATCCACAAAGGCTTGTCCAGAATGATGTTGCAAAATGCTGAAACTTCAACTGTAGCTTATGTAACAGCAGGCTGAGATTATAAGGCTTACTGTTTCTCATTCCTCTCAGAGAGGGTGCAGCGTAAGTACCACTTTCTGTGATGTGATGGGGAGTAGCAAACGTGCTGCTGAGGGTGAGCTGTGAAAAGGAAGAAAGTAAGGAGACAACTCTCTTGCTGCTTTGAGGAAAAACAAAGATGAGTCTATGTTCATACATGTAAAGAGCTTACTCTTACACATTTTTGAAGTCTTTTAGAACTGACACCGAAACTGCTTTTACATATCGCTAATTGTTCAGAGAGTAGTTTAGTTCTGACATTAGATTTCTTTTTTTGTGATTTTTTTTTTAAGTTGGACGTCAGAGTGGGAGATGGTTTTTGTTGTGAGAAGCCTGTGCAGCTGTTTGATGTGGCTCTTTAAAAGGGCCTCATCAGTTGAATTTAGTTGGGGTAAAAATGTTTTAAAAAAATATGTTTAATTTCTTGTGCTCCAGAGACTGCTTAGCCAGATGTTGTGGTTTTACAAATTCATTTTTTTAATTTTAACGTCTAATTTTTTTCCTTATGGGAGAATTAGGTTGATTGGTTAGGTTTGTTTCTTGGGTTCTAATTCCCTAAACTTTAAATCCAGCTTTGAAAACTGAAAATCTCACTAGCTGTGGAAGAAAAACATCCAATGTTGTTAAGCGTTGGTAACATCTGCATCTTGGGAAGGATGCAGAAAATCTTTTCCTATATGGAATTTTTGGGCGCTTGAATTTTGTGCCCTGGAAACCATTGATGGCAGTTGCTATGTCTGCAACATTGGAAGGGTTGATGGACCTGAAAAATATACTGCGCTTTCTGTATTCTATTTTGAGTAAGGAGTTTGTATTGCATTTTGATAAGGAGTGTTCTGGTGTGCTACCTAGAACGAGTCCATCTTACTTGGTGCTATTTTGGATGTCTTAGGGCTTTCTATGCTTCTGCTGAGACCACTTTTGCAGTTAAATATCCAAGTGTTATAATGGCCTGTTGGCAGGCTAATGGGTTTAGCAACTCTTATTTTAGCCATAAACCTGTGTTTCTGGTACATACTGTAAAGGCAACTTAAATAGTCTCTCCTTCCACTTTTCAAATTTTTTTTTTAACTTGGAAAAAAACTTGCCACTTTGGCTTGCCACTTTGATGTTTTAAACTCCTAGCCTTTTCCTTTAAGGTGTTCTGAAAATCCTCTGTGTGCACGGTAAAGCCCTATGGATTTCTGTGGGCCTCTGTCCAGCTCTGAGGGTCTGAATCCAGTGATCACACTGCCAGTTTACAAGATACATAGAAATCACTAGAGAGGGCAATAGGAAAAGAAGGAAACAGGTTTTTATTTTATGCTTCCTGTCAATATGCCTGATAGTAGCGTTTATTTTTTTTCTCCTCCTCACCCTGTTTCATCCATTTATTTTAAAACAGGACCTTTTATGACTGGATAACAGGAAAGAATCGACCAAACTCGGGTAGTCTAATCCAGGTGATAACTACAGGAGGGAAGACTGAACTAGTTGCAGCAGCACATCTTTGATGTCAGTCGCTTAAGATGGTGGAACTTCAGCAAAGGCGAAGCTATGGAAAATCTGTCTGCCAGTATAATTTGGATGGTCTTCTCTATCCAGTGATTGTAGTTATGTCATTAATGGAACCAGATTTCAAGTAATACTTATGTGCTGTCAGTTGTGAACTATCAGCATTTGTTTACCAACAAGTATCAAGTATTTGTCTCTAAATGAAAGTTGCAGGCTTTAAAGTCTGTAGATGTCCTAATTCTGAGCACTGTATGTAAACTTACCTGTTTTCTCTGAAATGGTAATTGTGCTTTATATATGTGATTATATGACATAACTGTGGTTTGTTTGTTTCTTTTTTCTCTCTCAATGTTTCTGGCAACTTAGTGTGAGTCTTTCAGCAGTCTGTCTGTCTTTTTCTGTCTGAGAATATAACCTTGCCCCTGCATATTATGTTGGCTGTAATTATAGCAAACATTGCAGTCATATATAATGTCCTAGTCTTGTACCATTTTTCTTGTGAATGTCCCACTGTGTAGAGATTACTCACTTGAGAAGGAGTTCCTGATTTGCCTTACAGTTTATAATCTGCTATCAGGCCTACAGTTGTAGGATAAAACAGTTGTTCTGCCAGATGATTAGTATGTCTTTGTGTTAGTCATGATGGTTCTTTACTTTTTTGAAAAAGTGCTGTAAAGAAGTACTAGAAAAAGCATACACACGCTTCTATTGGAATATGGAACTTTTTGTGCTAAATAAATGTATATTGTTTTATGTACTGGGCTGTCTCCATCACTGTAATGCAAATATCTGGGTAACATTTTGATCAGTTTAACTGAACTTGCAGTTCAGTTATGGCAAAGGACTTCATTTTATACTTATGTCCTTCTGATCATGCTGCATAAAATACATTTCTGGTGGTAGAGGTGGAAAAGCCTGCACGAGGCAGGCCTTCAGCTGGAGCAAATGTTTTCCTTAATCCAGCTACATTACATGGAAATACAGTTTGGTTGCAGAGTGAAAGTATTGCCTATTCTGACCATAGACTTACATGGAACCGGTGCTTTCCTTTTTTTTTTTTTTTTTTGGAATATCTTGAAAACAATTGAATACATGAAGTTGTATGTACATTCTTTCTATGCGCTTTCTTTATTAACTTCAGGGTTGTGCTGGGGAAGGATTTATAGGCATGAGTCAGGAAACCTTTCCCTTCTCCCCACTAGGAAAAGCTCATACGTGCCCATGTCAATCTTAACATGGTCAGATGGCTGCATGATTGCCTTTTTTGGTATGACTGTCCCTGTACTCATTTTGTTTTGCTGGGTGCAAAGGAGTAAAGGGGAAATTTTATGTCCTGTCAGACCACTCAAGAACTGTCAATTTATGAAGCTGCTTTTGATTTTAAATGGAAGACTAGCCACTATGCTATTTGACCAGCAATGTCTACAGGCTAGGAGTACAGACAAAAACTGCAAGGCACTGATAAGGAATGAAATAAGGCATTACTTGATTGTTCTGGAAAAGGAAAGAGCTATTGTACTACAAGCTTACATGATTTGAAGGCTTCCCTTTGCCAAGCTAGCTGAATTTCCAAGTTGCTGTGTTGTTCTTGCAAACTTCTATTGAATTGTGTCTCTGAAGCTCCCTGAAGAGCAGATCAAACTCTTGAATGGTGAAGGGAGCATGGCTGGGATTCCAGATGTGCATTTATACAGCTGTATAGGAGCACAGGGCCAAGGACCTAGCAGGCTGTATGGCTCATGAGTATTTTTGCAGAACTTGCTGTGGCAGAAGATAACACAGCAAATGGGACTAATATGAGCAAGGACTCTTTTATTTGCTAAGGGCTACAGGGGCTTTTCAGGCATCTTTGTAGATTATGTGCATGTACCTGGAGCTTAATGTTATTAATAATAACCTGGTGGAAAAGGCAAATGGCTGGTCATTGGTCATGTTGAATTAAGTTGAAGGTTGTGGCTAGCCAACCCTGAAATTACACAGGAGAAAAGAGGGAAACCGGGTTTAAATTTTGGTAGAGAACAGAAGGTCAGAAAAAGACAATGAGGTGCGATCCATGCATTTCAGAAGCTAGATTGATTCATTCTTCTCCATTAGAAAGACCTGATGGTCCTGGTAGGAAAACCTGAGGCAAATCTGTGGTTCTGACCCAGATGCTTCAGGTATGCTCTGTCAGTGTCAACCAGAGATAGGGCCTCGAAAACGGGGGAGGTGTCTACGCTATCCTAAGGAGAGGGTCACTAAGCTCGTGGAGACCTAACGTGGTTAGTTGTCTCCATCCAGGTCGTACTGCATGAATGCACCAGCGCAGGTCTAGGAGCAGGATGGCTGCGCTAGGACAGTGTTGAACAAGAAGCAGTGCCACCAGTCGCTCTGTTGCTTTACGTGTGCAGCATAGCTCCAGTGCCGGTTCAATGCCTCACAGGGGTCTGCTGTGCACATCCTGACTGCTGCTCTCAGCCAGCTAATTAAATGAAAGGCTATGGTGGTTGTAAGACAGAGTAGCTGTATAAACTCATGAGATGGAAGAAATCCATGTTGAGTGGAGTGTGAACATAGTAACAGGAACATTGTCCTCAACTGAGTTTTCCTTCTTCCACTCTTGCTTGAAGGGGGAAGAATGGTAGAAAACGAGCAATTTCTCTGTTCCATAAAAGGTGTCTACCCCAGTGTCCTCATTCAACTGGTACTGGTGCCTACTGGATAAGAAGCGGTAATATAGCTATCAGAAACAATAATACGTTGGCTGTAGCAATGCAAGAGTCATGAAATACGCTGACTGTGAAACAGTAGTGTTAAAACATAATTGTGAATGGAAGACTGTTGACTGGATTACTAACTTTTATCAGTTGCAGGTATGCGTGGAAATATTTGAAAACGGCTTATTGAAGCTTGAGGGTGAGAATGAAGGTGTTGGCAGGAGTATGTCAAGCTTGCTGCTAGAGCTGAGAGATTCAACTTGGAGAGTGTGATGGAAAAGAGGCTTTATTTTGACCAGTTTCATCCTGTGTTTCTACAAACTATTCCAATTAAGTAATGTCTAGGAAAAAAAGCCACCCTGACACTGCAAACGTCTGGGTTGCCTGGCTCCTTCAGCAGGCTCAGAGATGTGTTGGTGCTGCAATGAGAAGGAGAGATGTAGTCTGTGGGAACTGCAGGGAGTTAATCCATACTAAACACACACACACACAACTGGAGACTGCAGGTCTAGTGTGAAGATTGTCACAGAATCCCAGAATGGTTTGGGTTGGAAGGGACCTTTGAAGATCATCTAGTCCAACCTCCTGCCATGGGCAGGGACAACTTAGTGCTTCTTACAGAAATACAATACCTGATGAATTTCCACTGTAGTGTTGTTAAGAACCCCTGAATTGTTCAGCATATATTACTATTTCTATGGCATCATCAACCACAATGTAATACTGCAGAAGTAAGCAGTTTATCCTCCTTTAATTTAAGGAATGCAATATTTATTTTTCTTACATATATTAAGCAGCTGAATTTATCAGGTTTTTTTAGGACTGTACAACTGCTGTCATATTAAAAAATTCACAAGCACAGAGCCAATTTAGTAAGGCACTTTTCTATACAACCTCCTTTCGAAGATGCATACTACTGTCTACTTAAAGAAAGAGATCGGTGAGGTCTGGGAAAAAATAAGACACAAATCGTGCCACGCATGTCAGTCCTGCTCTTACGCTCTAACCCGTTTGTGCTTAGCATTCTGGTTTTTGCAGGTGTAGCAGTCTACCCCGTGCTCTTAGAAAAGGGATGTTTCCACACCTGAGCCAATGCGCCTTTGAAAAGGTGATGCGGTTACATGGTACATCCATACACACATAGGTACAATTACCCCAAACTGGGGTGGCTGTTACACATGGCATCAGATACAAATGTGCAGAGACAAAATACGGCTTTGTCAGAATGCCATGGCAACCAGGACAGGTCCGTTCTGTGTAGATGGTTTTTTCTCCTACAGATTTAGAAAAAGTAGATTTTAATAAAGCCTAAGTAAGTATAAAAGACACTTGTGCAGTAGAATACCAGGAGTATCATTACAAATCCAAAGACCTCTGAACACTGGGCAAGAAGCTGTTTTCAACATTTCAGGTGTAAGTGGGTGAGAACCTGAGCTGCTGTTCAGACTGAGGCCGCCATCCTGCAAAGCCTGACCCACATACGGTCCCGTTGCTTTGCAGAACCTTTGGTTCATTGCAGGACTGAGTCTGGAATGTTTTCAGATTTCACTGTGAAGTGTAATTCACATATTTTACCAACAGGTTTAATTAGCTTGTCGAAGTTACGTTTTTATGGGAAAATTAGTTTTCTACCAATTAGCTAATAACAATTGCCACAAAATGAAGGTTTAAAATTATGCTCTGCACCCAAGGAAAACAGATGGAATGGTTTCCAAATACGATGGTAGCTGAGTCATTCAGCAGTTACAGTTCTACAATTAACCCCAAATTGCACTTTGAAACCTTTTGTTGAAATAATTCATTATGCTAAACAAGCACGATTTTTTTATAGTGGAATGAAAACCACCATCACAACAAAAAGTAGCATTTATTATCTTTTTTCTTCTTCCTTGTATTGGCTCACTGGAAGAAAACAGATGGGGAGTGTAATAGCATGCGGAGATGCTTCAGACTAACCCTTGCAGTGTTGAACAAGGTGAGAAGTAGGCAGACATCTGAAAAGCATTGCAGAAGTCAATAGCAAATGTCACTTGAGATTTAGATCCCTGTCAGACACTGTCATTCTTGCACTTCCTGAAACACCTTGTTCTAAATGATTTGCTTTATAAATACGGCCAGTCTCAACACTGTCTGTGAGGACTCTTCTGGGGTATGATCACAGACTCCCACAGCTGAGTTGAGGCTGATCTTCAGGAATGCCAGTAGAGGGCAGAGACTTCCAATACATCGTGAAGATTTCTCTACTGCTAGGAATACGTAACCGTGTTCTTTTTGGCAGCGAGGATTTTAATTGTGCCACAGCCTCTTCCGAGAGGATCATTCTCCTTTCTTGCTTTATTGCCTACAATCCAAGCTTTCTGGCCTTTCCTACACCACGCATATGCAGCCTGTTACATATACCACTTCCAGAAACCGTTCCATCTATTTCAAACAAAACAAACCAAACCCCCAAACAACAACAAACACCACCACACTCAAAAAAAAAAAAAAACCAACCCAAAAAGAAGTCAAGGCTGTGAAGGCAGTCCCACAGCAGGGTGTAGCATTACTGTTGACATTTTATCAGCAAGTGGATTGTCAATCAATATTGTGTAACACAGGTTTAAGGGCTTGGACACAACAGGAAGGCAAACAGATTATCTAACTTCGCTACTGCACATAAGGATCATAAGAATTTCCTAACCTAACCAAAAGAACCAGCATCTATTCAGACCAGACTGGTATTAATGAAGAGACGGAATCTGGAGACACAAAATTTAGTTACTATAGGGTTTTGAATGTGAAAGTTTTAACTCCTTTGCCTGTGAAATGAAGGAATAGATAATATTAAAAAAAGTGTTATTTAGGAGGGAACAAGAAGTAGCAAGCCACACGACTTTCATTGCTGTAGTTTAATATTCATTATCCAGTGCCTCCTGTAGATATGAACTACACCACTAATCACAGTATTTTCCTTGTATGAACTTCCTCTTAAATAGTAA